CCCAAAACCCCAAAACCCCAAAACCCCAAAACCCCAAAACCCCAAAACCCCGCTATACCTTATATCTATTAATAGAGGACTGATCATTAAAAATTTAAATAAAAATTTAAATAATGTCTTCAGCTAGTAGAAGTTCCATTAGAACTGCAGGAGGTGGTATGTATGAGTCAGAAACAATGAGACTCCAAAGGGAAGTTGATACTTTCACTCAGAAATATGAGCATGAGAAACGCAGACTTCTCATCCTTGAGGAATAAATAAAGTAGGTTAATGCTGAATTAGAAGAAAGAGACAAATCAATTTCTTAATTGAAACCTTCTTAGCTCGTTGAGAAAAAAACAAACATAAAAATCCAGTCAACTTCAAAGCATGTGAATAACGAAAGAGTGAAATTAAACTAGACCAAGTCTAAAAATCAAAAGATGAGAAATGAGATAGATGTCTTAAGAAAAGAACTAACTAGTGCCATTGGAGAGGTTGAGAGAATTAGGAAGAATATTAAGAGAGCAAAGAAGGAAGCTGAGTCCTAAAATAAAGATTATGTTATTGGTAAGAAAGTCAGTGAGGAGGCAAATAATCAGATTATTGCATTAAGAGCTAAGCATGAGGAAGAAAAAGAGAGATTTGAGATAGAAATTTAAAAGTTACAGGAAAGACTTAAGGAGAAGGATGAAGTCATTGAGTTTGATGATAAAAACTTCGACTAATCATATTCTCAAGCAAAGGATAAGACAAAGACAAGTGATTTTTCAAATCCAGTAGCTATTCTTAAACTAAGACTCAATAAGATTGTAGCAACTAATAAAGAAAAGAAGAAGCTTATGGATCAATATATTAGGAACGTAAGAGTTATTGAAGATGCTTTCGATTAGATAAAAGAAGCCAGTGGCATTTCAAATATTGAGGAGATCGTTACAACTTTTATCAAAGCCGAGGAGTAAAATTACTCTCTCTATAACTATGTAAACATGCTCAATACTGAGACTGACACTCTTGAGGAATCAAATAAAGAAATCAAGGATCAAATTAATAGAATCCTTGAGAGAGGTTAACTGTCAGAGAAGGAAAGAGAAGATCTATAGTAATAACTTGAGGGTGATTGCAATGATCTTGAAAATGAAATTGACAGAAAGTAAGGTTTTATCTAAATTAATATACATTTAGTTAATAAGAAGCTGAATAGACAAAGAAAACCTTCAGAAAAATTCAACAATACGTTGAAAAGATGGTTGAAATGTTTAAAAAGTCAAGATTCTTCCTCTCAGTGGCCTAGAAGATGTCTTATGATGAGGGTTTTACTTTCAATGAGTCAAATATTGTCTAATACTTGGCTGAATTAGAGGAATATATCTCTTCTTTAATTACTTACACAGCCTTTAAAAAAGATGATCCAAATGCTGCCATCAGTGCTATTCCACTAGAAAAGCTGAATCAAAAAGACTTCCAGAGGAAAGACCTTGCTGTAATTATAAAATAAGTCCTTATTTTTGTTTTAGATCGATGCTCCAGTGGCTTACGAGTTGAATCAAGACAGTGCTCTCCCAGGAGCAGAAGAAAACGAAATTATTAGCTCTAAACAGCTGTATAAGTAGTTCATGAAATTGGTTGATGGCAAAAACATTAACTTTGTGACTTAAAATATGGCAAAGTAGCAATAGCAAACGCAAAACTTCATCGCTAAGGTTGATGATGATCTGCCCTGATAGAATAATCCACATACCTAATAGTGTTTGGATCATTAGAGATTGATTAATAAATTTTACATTTTAATAATTTACAAAATGCAAACTATATGGGGTTTTGGGGTTTTGGGGTTTTGGGG